AACGTAACCGTAGTTGTGCTTTAATATTGTGATCATTAAGGGCAGTAGTTTTGATTTTGAGTTTTATTGAATTGAAATCTGCGATTTCAACATTGAAATTGGAAAGAGTTAATGCTACGCTCCTCACTCATCTCACAATAACAACTATCAACGAGCATTCAACTGCTATCATTTCATCGTTCGTCGAACCTAAATAAAATTTGTTTCAATTTTGTTCCACTATTAGAGGAGAGTGACGAATAAACTAGTTGAACTATTCAAATGCGATACACACACGCGATCATTGTTCGTATACCGAATGCAGTGAATGTTGATGATAAAAAAGCGAATATCGATTTTAAACTAGCCAATAAACAACTGGATGACCTTTCTGAAACACTTCGTGAGGTTTGTGATTTTTGTTATTAGTCGAGTATCTATTTGAATACTTATTCAAAATTTCACTGCACAACTCAACAATTGAAATCAACTTCATTGCTTCAGTTTCAATGACATGATGACATCGAAAAACAGCGACAAAAAACGAGAGAATGTTTTTTTTTNTTTTTTTTTCGTATCGTTTATCTGCTGCGTTATTTAAGTCGAATAAAGCAACGTCGAACTATCAACTGTGAATCTTTTACCCACTTTGTCGTCTAAAACACCTACAAAAATTATCGAAACAGATGCAGGCAGTACATCGAAGAATCGTACTGCTGTTTGTTGATCATACAAAGCAAAATGTTCTTTCCCCACTGAAAATGTACATGTTACATGAACTACGGCAGAACTTCCTCGAAAAAAGACATCAATAAGTCAATATGAATCATGAACAAGCACTTTTTGATCGGTGTCATCAATAATTCATAGTGTAATAAACGAATTCATGCAATAAATAACGAGCAATTTATATGAGCACATGAGCAATCAAAAGTAACGGAAATTCGCGTAGCCCTACGAAAGTTTTTCATAGCAACAACAGCAGACACTTCCTTCTTACTCCCAGGCTTTTTCTTATCAGAAAAGCCTTCTCCATTTTTTAGCAAGAAATATTTTCATGAAAGGGGTGTTGAGAACTCGCCTCTTAATTATTGGCAGTGTTATTGTTGATATTGTTATTCTTAATATTAATAATTAACGTTATCAGTAATTAATATTAAGACGGGGAGGAAATTTAGTTGATGTTGCGAGTTCGCACAACAAGGGTTGTGTGTTGTTGATGAAACTGAAAATGAGTATGAAATTGAAGGCGGGTGTTGACGTGATTGAGTTATCATCAGAAGATAATTGTACACAGCAAAGTTTATTTATTGACGATGCGGCAGTTGTCATCAACGGTACTGCACTTATCACCCGACCTAAAAAGAACGGCTCTCGAATTCAAGAGGTCTTTTTCATTCATCTGTTATTTTTGCATACACTGAAATTTCTGTGAGCGCATTTGGTTAGCTCTTAGCACATGATATGCACAAGAATTGTTCATTAATCGTAGTTTTTAAAGATTCGATTCAGTATGCAATGATTTTAGAATAGATCTCGTTAAATATTATGGC